GAGCAGGGAGCCCGATGCGGGACTCGATCCCGGGATTCCAGGATCATGACCCGAGCCGAAGGCAGTCGCTCAACCAACTGAGCCACCCAGGCGCCCCCCAAAAAAAAGATTTTTTAAAAAATAGTAAGGAAAGGACCCTGTCAGGACCCCTCTCACTCCTGAGAGCTTTTCCTGTATCCTCACTTAATAAAACTCTATCACTCACTCTCAAAAAAAAAAAATAAGGAAGAGGTCACACTGTTTCTTGCCCTTGTTTTCCTCTCCTTTTTTGCATTTCTGTGTCAATGTGAGCCAAACAGCTTCCCAAATCCATGACTGGTCCTTAGGATTCCTCAACACACCCAGAGAATTGCAGCAATCTGGAGGTGGTGCTAGGACCAATTCTTTGTCATTTAATTGACAATACTCTTGATCAGGAGTCTGTTTTCTGATATCTTATCAATCATATCTTCAATCGTAAGATATCAGTCATATCTTCCTGAAGCTATAACCCTATAGTTATTTTGGTTCTTTTTTTTTTTAAGATTTTATTTATTTATTTTGACAGAGAGAGAGAGACAGCGAGAGAGGGAACACAAGCAGGGGGAGTGGGAGAGGGAGAAGCAGGCTTCCCGCTGAGCAGGGAGCCAGATGCGGATGCGGGGCTCGATTCCAGGACCCTGGGATCATGACCTAAGCCGAAGGCAGACGCTTAATGACTGAGCCACCCAGGCACCCCTGACTTAGTTATTTCTTAATTCACCCCAATAGCACATTTACACACTCTTAGGATGGGTCAGTTCTCCACATGACTCCTCTCATCTTTCACTGGGCCATTTTCCTATGTAGATGCAAAATATGTGGGTGGGAGGTTAGACTCTAAATTGAGTCTCCTTAATTTGGTCTCATAAATAAAGGGAGAGATCATCAGATTTGAGTGCAGCCCTATAATTGTTTTAAAAATATAAGTAATATACTAATATTATCTTTGTTTAAAAATAAAAGATAGGGACACCTGGGTGGCTCTGTGGGTTGAGCCTCTGACTCTTGATTTCTGCTCAGGTCATGATCTCAGGGTCATGAGATCCAGCCCAACACTTTCAGCTCTCAGTGAGTCTGCTTGCCCCTCTCCCTCTGCCCTTCCCCAACTCACCCACACGCTCGCTCTTTCTAAAGTAAATTTTAAAAATCTTTTTTTTTAAGCTTTTATTTATTTATTTGACAGAGAGAGACACAGCGAGAGAGGGAACACAAACAGAGGGAGTGGGAGAGGGAGAAGCAGGCTTCCCGCGGAGCAGGGAGGCGGATGTGGGGCGCC